GTCTTCGAGCATTGTGATGAGGTCTTCCAACGGTTCTGCCTTAGTACGCAAAGCAGACGGACGATGAGGCAGCAAGGTTCTGAAGTGGAGGCCACGTACCGGAAAGCACAGCGTAGGACTCATAACCGCAAGGTGGACCGACGACCTCATAAAAGTAGCAGGAAGGCGCTGAATGCAGGCCACCACCAACCGGCCATTGTGAAAATCAGCATCGGAGCCTGTTTTCAGCAGGGGACGTCCTATGGCTGACATGATGATGGTTTTGTGAGTTGTACATCGATAATCAAAAAGGAACAAATTACAAGCATATTCAAGTTTTTTACCACTCTCTACAATTTTTGTAACACGTCTTTTGAATAACTCTAAAATTCGTTCCGCCAACATAAAACAGGGTAATATAATGAAGGAGTATAAAAGTTTGTTTGATACCTGTGATTTTACAAAAACACTTTAATTTTATTTGCTAGTCCATATAGGCTCATTATCAGTAACCATTCATTATCAGGTGATCCGTTTGCTCGTTTGCCTTTTGTGACATAAAAAACCAAATATTTAGATACCCATAACGTAAAAATGGTTTTAAAATACTTCAATTTTATGAAGTGCTGTTTTGTATCAAATTAAAGATTTTGATTAAAATCATTATTTTATTGTAAACAATCCAGAATTCTTACGAATATAAGCAAATATTAATTTTATAGCACATGAACTCAATTCCGATATTAATATCGGAATTCCGATATTGAGATCTAATATCGGAATCCAATATCGGAATTAAAAACCTTCCGATATTACATGCCCTAGTAACAATACATCATACTCAAATGGAATAAAGATATATTGTGTTTTTATAATATAACCGATATTACAATAAATCACTAAAATAAGAATGATATCTCATCTAAAAAGAATAAGTAATACAAAATATTTTTATCTATTGAAACAACATTTATCTAAGTAAACGTTACATATCTCATGCCGAACGAGACTATAAATCTTTAGTATGAGCAGTCCAGTGCTTACTTTTCATGGTAACAAACTAAGCACATTTATTTCGGTAGGCATTCTACAAATCATTCTAAATCACTGAATATGGTCTGTAGGAAACAAATCACAATAAAATGAGCGTATTCGTTCATATTTATGTTCCCAAAAGGTAGTATTTATGTGGGTAAGACTCAGTCACATATGAATCTCTTACAGTAAAAATAACAGATGTCAACGATATGTCTCCCTAACGAAGGTTTTGGGGGAAAGAACACTCGAAGACATTTTAATATTTTAGCAAAGAGATTGCTATGCCATCTTATTGATTGGTTATTACAAGAGCAACAAAACAAAAATGTCTCTGCAGATTGTGCTATCATGAACGTTTCTGAAGTCCGATAATGGTGGCTCATCATATCTGTCGTGAGGCCTCGTTAGTTCGAGGTGGTGAAAATACCGGACGCAAGCTTAATTGCCCCGTCTGTGTCACAGTTTTACAATGTAACGCGAAAAGTGCTGAAATTCGTGACAACTTGTAACAAACCACACACGGAGGTGGTAGAAACAGAGTGGATAGCATAAAATCGTCGATATAAACGTTTCAGCTCGGAATGACAACCGGGGCGCAAAATGTCCACTTCTCGAAATGACAACTTCTTAAAATGTCAACTTCGCTAAAAGACAACTTCTCATAATGTCTATTTCTCACAATGACAAATCGCATTTGGTCTACTTCACGTAATGTCAACTACTTGTTGATATTTTATTTTCATTATTTCTAGAGTTCTAGTTCTTCTAGAGTTGTCATTATGTGAAGTTGTCATTTCTTTCGATTGCTTTAACTATTATTCTAGGAGTGTTGGTGGTTCTGTCCGTTTTATAACATTATTTCTTACTTTTCCAGCTTGTATAGTTCTACAATTTTACTCTTAAAAGTACAACAAAATTATTACACTACTCGTAGAGACAGTCGAAAATTTTCCTATTGAACATTCTTGGAAGATATAACATGTTTAGGTCTTATATTTTTCAAATTACTTACACAAATTCGTGTGTATAAAAAGCTGCTTTCCCATTTTCTTCTACTCTATTGAAAAACTATGTACCACAGTTCATCATAAAGTTGCTCGTCTCTATGTACATTTCCCGACTCGCGGCAATATTATAGTAATTTAACTTCTTGCAGATGAAAATCCCCGAGACTTCTTATTTGAAATGGAGCGTAATTACCACCCTTACATCCCCGTCCCCTTCCTGCTCTTTGAGCAAGGGTTGTTCCAACAGGAACGTCCCGATTGAGTCTTCCGAGCATCAGGTCAGTTGCTCGCTCCAGACATCTTGCGATTAAACGTTTGATGGTTTTTTGTTTGAATTTTTTACAATGGCAAGAACACAATGGGACCTCGAGCTTTGATGTGACTTTGAGTATAAATGTTTTATCATGTCCTTTATGAACAAGATGGGAAATGTAAAATTATTTTTTACAGTTGCTTAGGTTTTGTATTAAACTTTTGTCCTATATTTTCTTGCAATTCGAATACTGCTATTTCTTTGATCTTTTTGTTTTTGTCTTTCTTTAAGATGAATATAAGTTTGACATTCGTATCTTTTTAGTAACCAAATGACATCAGTCACGACACGGTTCTTCTAACCTGATGTAATTTGGGTTTCAATTCTAAACGTTGGTTAAGTTAATTCGTTATGTTTACATTGTTTCCAGTATTTCTTATAATAAGACACTCTAAATTCCCGTTCAGCCACTGTAATGTACCAGGCGAGCAGAAACGAACAGATCACATCGACGAAATTACGGGACGCCTAATGACCGCCCCCGGCTAATGTGCGCCATTATAGTGAACCTCTTGTTTATTCCGATTCATCTTTGTATCACTTCTGCGGTCCTGGTAAAAAAATCCCTTTGATTTATTTATATTTTCACTAAATATTATACCTACTTACGAAGGTATGTCCCTAGTCCCAAATAACATTTACCATTTTGCCCTTATTAAGTCTGACACCGTAGATAATGCAATAATCAGACAACTTACATAAGAATAAAAGCAATATTTTAGCACAAATCATATTCTGTGAAGTATGCCAAATTGACATACGTAGTAAGAATCTCTACATAAGTCGTATATTGTCATTTCACATACACTACACTACACTATTAATCTTGGAAATTATTCCTTTACATGGCTTTAAGTCAAGATGCATGTGTTCGATGCTGTAAAGCAATTTAATGTTGATTACTGAGTCTTAAATACATACCCTCACCTAAATTACAGACAAGCTAGTATTCTGTGGGCAAATACTGATACTGAGGGTACTTTGGGAAGTTGTTGTGACAGTACGCTTTTTTAACATCTCCTAAGTAAATTATTCGTAAATAGTGTTAAAATTATTATTTCGTTCTGAAAACTTACTGAAAAAGGTCTCTCGACCTTGATCTTCATCCTGTGTTGTTTGTGACGCTCTTGGTGAACTCATAATAAACAAAAACTCAGTTCAAACACAGTGCACTACCTCAAGCTTTATTGTCACTTTTTCACACTATTCATTTCACTCCGTAAATATGTCGCCTAAGAACAAAACTTGCGGGGGTTGCTTGAAGAGGATCGAAGATAAGCGGAGGGTGCTGACGTGCCGCGCGTGTGGGCTGCACTATGATCTGGAATGTGCCGGGGTCACAGAGCAGCGGTACCACAGCACACTTATCGGCGAGCACCGGGACAGGTGGCGGTGCGTCACCTGTGTGAGCGCGCAGCCCAAGCGTGACAACTCGAACACGCCGGTCCGGGCCGCCGTCGACGCCGTCACCGTGAGGAGGGGCGCTTCCGCAGTGAGCCCCGTCAATCTGGACGTGTCCATGCTGGAGCGGCCGCCGCTGGACGACACCGCGCACAACTTGACCGTGGAGCTGCCGGACTTCCACGCGCTGGTCCTCGAGTTGAGGCAGTTCCGAGAGGAGGTGCGGGAGGAGATGAGGCAGCTCCGCGAGGAGGTGCGTGAGGAGCTGAGGGCTGTGTGCGCCCGGACCGATGCCGTGTGCGACGAGGTGCGGAAGCTGACTGGCCGGGTGACCCGCTGCGAGGACAGGGTCGGAGCCGTCGAGCAGCGCCTGCACGCCATCAACCTCGCCGTGCAGAGCGGCGCCACGNCGGGCCATGCACACCCGGATCGACGCCGTGTACGGCGAGATAAGGGAGCTGACGGGCCGGGTGATCCGCTGCGAGGAGAAGGTCGGAGCCGTCGAGCAGCGCCTGCACGTGATCAACCTCGCCGTGCAGAGTGGCGCCTCGGCCGGCGCGGCGCGGATGGACGCGCTCGAGCAGCGGCTGGAGGCCGGGGCGGCGCCCGGGCCGGGGGCGAGCGCGCAGCTGGAGCGCACCGTGGCCGAGCTCAGGCTCGAGCTCAACGAGCGGGACCAGGAGGCCCTGCTCGCCGACCTCGAGATAGGCCAGCTCCCGGAGGAGAAGGGGGAGAGCGCCGTGCACAGCGTCGCGGTGCTGGCCGGCCGGCTGGGCGTGGCGCTGGACGAGCGGGACGTGGTGTTCGCGGAGCGCGTGGGCGCGCCGCCGGCCGAGGCGGGCGGGCGCGCGCGCCGTCTGGTGGTGCGGCTGGCGCGGCGCCGCCTGCGCGACGAGCTGCTGCAGGCCGCGCGTGTGCGCCGCGGTGTCACCGGCGAGGGTGGAGCGAGAGTTTTCATCAATGAGCGCCTGACCCGGCTGAATCGCCAGCTCTTTCACCGGGTTCGGGAGGAGTGCCGTCGTCTCCAGTGGAAGTACACTTGGACCAGGAGGGGCCGCGTTTTCGCTCGTAGAGGCGACGGCGCGCAGGTTTTCCAGCTGCGCTCTATGGAGGACGTTGTGAGGGTGTTCGGCTCCCCGGCGCAGTGACTGGCGGTCGACTGTAAAATAATAAAAATATTTACTAAGTCACACATTCTTTGTAAAAATAGTATCAAAGCATCTTTTGCTAACAACTGGCTTACCCAAAATTTGTTTTGTATGCTTCATTTATCGCTTTTTTGTCTCGTTGTTGTTGGTTCGGTACTGATAATTCCCAGCGGTGATACAATTTCACACTATCACAGGTTGTTCCAATGTAGGATATTGCTGAGAAAAAAGAAACATAATTTTAAAGACTACATCTCTATTCTAAATATTAACTTTTTCAAATTAATTTTATTTTTGTATTTGAGTAGTGTATTTACACATAAAGAACATCTCATTGGGGCAGTTCAATGTTGTTTTTATAATGTACAAACATCACAGGCCTTGGGTTAAAGAATTTATTGGTCGGTTTTTTCAATGCGGGATCTCTCTGTACTAAACAGGAGGAATTTATAGTAGCAATGAATGACTTGGCTCCGGATATAATGGCTGTAAACGAGACCTGGCTGAGGGCTGGGGAGGGGGACAGGGCTCCTAAACTAACTGATTACCGACTGAGACATACCCCGAGGCCATGCCACATTAGGAGAGGCCGAGGGGGTGGGGTAGGTTTCTACATCCGGAGAGGTATAAATGTGAAATCTTGTTCTCATCCCAGCACTACAGAATCGGTGGAGCAGATGTGGATTTCTACACGCATTCTCAATCAGGTCATAGTAGTCGGCACAGCTTACAGGCCACCTTGGCAGGATCCGGAGTTGTTTCTTGATGCGGTATCTGAGTCTATTGCCTCATTCACTTGGGCGGATGGACTAATTTTGACTGGAGACTTTAATATAGATCTGCTTGATGGAAGCGGTCGGAGATGCAGGGAGCTTGTGCAATGCTTACACAGTCAAAACCTCAAGCAATTAGTGACTGAGCCAACTCACTTCACAGACCATAGTGAGACTCTGATTGATGTGATTTGTACAGATTTGCGAGCACTGCGGGTATCAGTGAGGCATTCTCCGGATCTGGGAGGGCACGCCATGCTTTCGGCAGAGTTCAGGATCAAAACTGAGAAAATCAGTCCCCGATGGGTCACATACCGGCCTTTCAAGGACATAGTCCTGGAACAACTAGAACGGGACCTAAACACCATCGATTGGAGTGGTCTTAGACTTAACTGTCTTAACCACGTAGACCAGCTCGTGGAGGCCTTCACACAGTGTGTCATGGGATTGATGGACTTGCATGCTCCAATAAGAACACGTAGGTTCAAACAACCCCCGCATCCCTGGATCACTGATACCATCAAGGGGATGATTCGTGTCAGAGATGACTATCACAAAAAGTTCCGGCAACAGAAAACCTCAGACCTCAAAAACAGTTACAAAACCATGAAGTACCTAGTCTTGAATGCAATTGAACGTGAGAAGACCTGTTTTTTTACTAGGCAAATTAACAATAATTTGAGCAACTCAAAACAGCTCTGGAGGAATCTAAAAAACACTATTCTGCCAACCAGAAAGAACTTTGATGACCTGCCCTCTTCGTTCAGCGACCCAGATTTGATCAACACACACTTCCTGAATGTGCCAGGTGAAAACAGAGTTACAATATCACAATTGACCTTTTATGAGCATCATAGGCACAGTAACGCTGCCACCTTCTCACTACTCACAGTTAGCGAGGACTTAGTCCTTAAGACCATTAGGGGTCTGAGATCAAACGCACAGGGTAGTGATGGTCTTACTCTCGACATGATTTTGCTCACTTTGCCTTACTCGCTGGGGGCTATTACTGCAATGGTCAATCGGTCGATACTGGACGGCGTATTTCCAAAGCATTGGAAGGTTGCAGTTGTGAGACCGCTACCCAAGACAAGTCAGCCTATCACAGTCCAGGATCTCCGACCTATAAGCATCTTGCCGTGCCTTTCTAAAATATTAGAAAGAGTAGTGTGTAACCAACTTACTGACTATCTTGAAGCACATGACATCCTCCCTCATTATCAGTCTGGCTTTCGGAAAGGGCACGGCACGACAACTGCACTGGCGGATGTGGTCGATAACTTGCTGGTTGCTCAAGATCGGGGGATGCTAACAATTCTCACACTACTGGATTTTTCTCGGGCTTTCGACTCAATTAATACTTCTCTGCTGCTATCCAAACTAACCTATTACGGCCTCGACAGTGGTTCGGTTAAGTGGTTCCACAGTTATTTAACCCAGCGACTGCAATGTGTGGAGTTGAGGAGGGTGGACGGCACTTCGCTGAGGTCTCAACCTCAAATGGTTACTCGTGGGGTTCCTCAAGGGTCCATTCTGGGACCAATCCTGTACATCCTATACAGTGCCGACATCACTAACACCATCACAAGTTGTCATCACCATCTGTATGCTGATGATTTACAGGTGTACCTCTCTTTTGCACCAGCTGACTTTGCCGTTGCTGTGGCTAAGGTGAACAAGGATCTGAACAGCATCTATGACTGGAGCGGCTCAAATTGTTTAACCATCAACCCCAAAAAGTCCCAGTTCTTGGTTATAGGGACACCAAAAAGCATTGCCAAACTCAAAGATGTAACTCTAAACATTAATATAGACGGAGAACCTATCGCAAGGGTTGACACAGCCAGAAATCTGGGACTTGTTATGGACTGTAATCTGAAATTTGAAAGTTACGTAGCTGAGTGTGTTAGAAATAGTCTTTATCGGCTCAAACTCCTGTACAAGCTGAGACCCTACCTGAGCGAGAGACTCAGAATTCTACTCTGTGAGTCCTTGGTCCTCAGCAGGTTTAATTACTGCGACTCTGTCTATGGTCCGTGCCTTTTGTCAAGAACATCCAAACTTATCCAGAGAGTGCAGAATGCATGTGCGCGGTTTTGTTTTTCGGTTCCGCCTCGCTCTCACATCACCCCTTATCTTAATGCCGCAAATATGATGAAGATGGAGGCACGTAGGAGACTTCATTTAGCCACCTTGATGTTTGGAGTCATTACTACAAAGAAACCTAAATACCTGTTCCTAAAGCTGGAGTGGGTCTACAGCGGATATCCAAGGAGGCAGTGCACCCACGTCTTTGCCACTCCAAGACATCGCACTGTAGCATTTCGAGGCTCCTTCAGATTCGCTGCGTCGCGGTGCTGGAACGACCTGCCGCCGCCATTGCGTGCCCTGCTTGTCAGAAACACCTTTAAAACTAATGTAAGGAAACACTTTATCTCACTGCAAAAGACGAGTGGCGCAGATGCACTTACAAGGGGATGTTCACGTTCACGTGACGTTGGCAGGCGTGTCCCAGCATAAATATTTCTAGCGTCCGGTTGAGCTTCGACTGACGGTTTCACCGGCTTTTTGGCGCACCCTAAAAACAATCCTTCCATTATGAAATTGGAATGGAACGAGAGAACATAGTTGGTTCTATCAATCAGATAATGCTTACCGGGTAGTGCGGTGCGGCGTGTTTGCCGGGCTGGGTATAGGCGAGCGGGGTGGATCCAAGCGCAACATTCACTCTTCCTGCTGTCGCTTGCCGTAATTTCAATAATAAGGCGCTTTTCTCGCTTTATTACGTGGCAAACACATGGCATAAATGGCGTTGAGAGATGGTCTCGTTAAAACTCGTTAAAATTTGTAAAATTAATGGCTGTCTTATCATAATTAATTTGCTGGGTAACCTTTCTTTTTCTCCGTGACAGTCTTTTCTTCTTTTAACTTTTTTTTTTTTTTTTTTTCCATCGCTTTGGGAACTGTCATTTTGCCACTGCTGTCGTATATTTAATCGTGGCATTAAAAAGTTGCTATAATGCGATCTTTATCTATATTTAAGCATTCTCTAATAAAATAAAATGTCCGGAGACGTTAACTTTTAAAAGACATAAACTTTTAAAAACCATTGTCTCAAATTGCTCTTCGTATGTCTTTGTTTGGAATAATTAATCATCTTAAATATTTACACACTGGAGTTATCAAGCCGATTTTTTTTTTTTTCTGTTGTGTTCGCCCTTCAGAGTTGATCATCCTCTCCATGCGGATTTAACCCTGATGGTCGGCAACTTATCAGGCAATCGCTGTTGAGGCGGGACGCACCTACTAATTCTCTGGATATGTTAATGACATCTTTCTCACATAGTACATACTAATATTATACAATATACTTAAAGTGTAAAATCATGGTTGTAATTCAAATTCAGCTCATTTATTGGAATACTCAACGGACAAATTCAATTATTCTGGTGTTAGTTACAGTACAGTACTCTCAATGGTTACCGTTTGACTTTATCTATACTGTTATATCAGGATATTACTACTAATGACTGTATCAAAAGTTTTCTCAAAAGCTTGTTTCGCCTCAGACCGCCTAAATATGACACTACTTGGTATTAAATTATCATTTCCGTAAAAAAAAAAAAAATTACAGTTAAGTGTATACCTCTTCTAGTTCTGGTTTCTGCACAGATAATGAATACTCCGAGTTTATTTATTGTATCCAGACTAAATATAAATTAAAAAGTAGGTAGATGAAATTGATGAAAACATTAAAACCGGACTCGATTAATTTTAACAACCATTTATTTATTATTGTACCTATATATTATTACCGTACATTATGGAAAACCTTGTACTATGCCCAGCCTCAACACTTAAATCTTACATTGACAGGACTATTGGTATACGCACAGATGATAATCTTTTTATACAAAGAAGCACATGACATCCTCCCTCGTTATCAGTCTGGCTTTCGGAAAGGGTACGGCACGACAACTGCACTGGCGGATGTGGTCGATAACTTGCTGGTTGCTCAGGATCGGGGGATGCTAACAATTCTCGCACTACTGGACTTTTCTCGGGCTTTCGACTCAATTAATATTTCTCTGCTGCTATCCAAACTAACCTATTATGGCCTCGACAATGGTTCAGTTAAGTGGTTCCACAGTTATTTGACCCAGCGACTGCAGTGTGTAGAGTTGAGAAGGGTGGACGGCACTTCGATGAGATCTCAACTTCAAATGGTTACTCGCGGGGTTCCTCAAGGGTCCATTCTGGGACCAATCCTGTACATCCTATACAGTGCCGACATCACTAACACTATCGCAAATTGTCATCACCATCTGTATGCCGATGACTTGCAGGTGTACCTCTCTTTTGCACCGGCTGAATTTGCCGTTGCTGTGGCTAAAGTGAACAAAGACCTGAACAGCATCTCTGACTGGAGCAGCTCAAATTGTTTAAAGATTAACCCAAAAAAGTCCCAGTTCTTGGTTATAGGGACACCCAAAAACATTGCTAAACTCAAAGATGTAACTCTAAACATTAATATAGACGGAGAACCTATCGCAAGGGTTGACGCAGTCAGAAATCTGGGACTTGTTATGGATTGTAATCTGAAATTTGAAAATTATGTAGCGGAGTGTGTAAGAAATAGTCTCTATCGGCTCAAACTCCTGTACAAGTTGCGACCCTACCTGAGCGAGAAACTCAGAATTCTACTCTGTGAGTCCTTGGTCCTCAGCAGATTTAATTACTGCGACTCTGTTTACGGTCCGTGCCTTCTGTCAAGAACATCCAGACTTATCCTTATGATTTTTAATATCGACAGAAGTAAAAATAACTTTGACGATGTAAATAATGCACTAACAAGAGTTTTAAGTTGGTTCACTACAAATAATTTACAACTCAATGCAAAGAAAACAAAATGTATAAAATTCTCTTTGCCTAACGTAAAAACAGTTAGTACTCAAATAGAACTTAATAATAATGCAATCGATCTGGTAGACTCTACTGTATTTCTGGGAATTACCCTGGATTCAAAACTCCAGTGGGGCCCCCATNCTATGACATAATGTTTTGATTTAAAGTGAAAAATAGGTTAAGGTGCGGCGGGGGTGGCCCTTGGGCCACCCCTAAGCCGCCTATATAGTTTTATACACACATAAATGACCTCATATTAATCACATTTACCAAATCATGCGGTAATTATTCATAATAACCGGCGATTATTCATAATTTTCACATTTATCACTTTGACCGTAACATATACATGTATATCAAAATAGCGTATCGGTTATAAATTAGAACGGTTTTGAGTGAATTGGCCGTGAAGAGTCCTAATAATTACAACTATAACTAAGCAATTTCAAGTAAATCCTATCCTTCTGTGATAAACTGAATTTCACGCGGGCGAAGTAATGGTCAAAACCTAGTTTTAAATAATCAAAACACACAGAACCGCGGGCAGAGGCTAGTTAGAGACGCCATTGTCCCCCGCACGCCTGAGCAAACGTACCACAATGGGCGGACTTAGGGAATTAACGCGACGTTCATGGATACTGCACATTTTAGAAATTAAACCACCACTATGAGCATAGAATCTACAGTATTATTATAACTGTGAGACATTTGTTTTTGGTAAGTTAAGTGATCGTACTGTGTGCCTACCATGAGTTTACGTTAGGTGAGCTCGCTAGCGAATACGTCAAAAAATTCTATGAAGATTTTATTTCTTGAAAGTAGCCACTAGGGGCGCTGCACAATATGTCATACATTTAAATGTCATTTTTTACGCAGTCGCTAGCGAGCACACCTAACGTAAACTCATGGTTGGCACACTGAATCGCAAAGTGTTTAAGTATTTTGTATGAGTGTGTCTGAGACAAGAGCAGAATAAAAATAACAATTAACTAACACTGTTTTGTTATTACCGAACATAATTTATTGTTCGACAGTAACTGAAAAATAAAATCATTTTTTATCACTGATTTTACAACATTTATGATTTCTGATAAATGATGTTTCATTATTTTGAATTTGATAGCGCGCATTAAGGATTATTCATAATTATTTATGAAAACATTTTTATACAACCAATACAATATATTTTAGCTTTGAAAAGAATAATGTCCTTAAAAATACTTTTATTTTTGAACTTAGATGTAGTTACTCTATCTTTAACTCATCCCATTTCTCAAAAGGGGCTTACCGACCCCATAATATGTAATTATCTACAGTCAACGTGGGTACGTAACTCAACATGTCCCTATTAATCAACAATCGAGAGCAATTACCAGGGATCAAAAGGGATCGTGGTATCGATATTTCACAAAGGACCCCAGGGCCAGAGATGACAAATCGGGGATCAGTAAAACTTAGATTGATCTTAATCTAAGTAAGGTTATTGAAACAGTTTGCGATTCCTTAAGGACACGAATATTAGATGAATGATGACAAATTGTATTAAATAATACTTGTTTCGTATGAAAACAAGATAAATTAACTTTCTTAACTGAAGGATCAAGGGTTAAAAGAAAGTCATTGCAATGTTTTAGAACTTTCGTTTAATGAATTTTGACACCGCGGGATAACCCAAGACAGTGCCATCTAGTTTTTAAAATAGTAATTAACTATAATTACTTCAAGGACTTCAAAGATGCGGCCTCGAACAGGCACTCACCCGTATTCACAAACGATGCTTGCTTAAGTGAAGCAGCAAATCGAACGCACAGCGTTGAATATAGCTCTGTGATTGGTTCGTGCGTGCGTGACCCTGTGCGACCTGTGCGTCCATGCGCACTTTGAGACCTCATAGTAACGTTTGTGAATACGGGCGACAGTGTATAATATTTATTTAGTTATTCCAATAGACATCATCAACAAACTTCGCATTTTACATCTATAGTCACTTACCGACAAAATTATGAGTCGAACGCTCTTTGAAACAATCAGATCGCAAAATACTGATTTAATTTATTCCCAAAACTTATCCGAAAGAGAAATTTGCCAAATTTCACACTAGAACAATGTTAGAATAATAGATGGTGAATCGTATGGATTTACATATTTATGAGGGATCCTTCCAGAGGTATTAAATGTTAGTCAATAGTCGGCACGAGAAGTCCCAGTGAGACCGCAATCCTCATAATTTATCCAATTGTAATAGGTATTTACATCAATTAGAATGTCTTTTGTATGAGTCCTTATAATTATTTGTACAGTCGACAGCATATCAGACTATCCATTTTTGTTGGAAAATAGTATCCTACTAATATTATAAATGCGAAAGTTTGGATGTCTGGATGTCTGGATGGATGTTTGTTACTCTTTCACGCAAAAACCACTGAACGGATTTTGATGAAACTTTACAGTATTATTGTGTATAACGCAGAATAACATTATACTATAATTTATGACGATCTATGACAAACGAAATTTCACCCGGGTGAAGCCGCGGGCAAAAGCTAGTCGGTTATAAACTTCGATCAACAATACCAACTAGATATTTATCCATCGTCTACCCAACTACAAAATTAAATAACGGCGCACTTGAGAAGTGAGTTCTTATCGCCAACTCACAGTTAGCGGGGTGCATGGGAATTTTAAAGACTAAGGCTGAGTTGCACCATCAAACTTTAATGGTAACTATGACGATAACCAGTGCTTTTTGTATGGAGTTTGACAAATTTTTGACCTTTGTCAAAGTTATATACTTACGATCAAAAGTATGGAATCACCCCTTTGTGTTCCGAGCGGTCTTAAGAACTGAATGACTATGTATTGTATGTATCTATGGTATCAATTTAAAGTTTATAATATCACCTTTAAAATGGTACCATTTTTTATTGAACTTCTATTAGTCATTTAGTTCTTATGATCGCTCGGAATAAATAGGGTGATTCCATATTTTTGCTCGCGAGTGTAGTAAGATGGTGCAACCCAGCCTAAAAATATTAAATTATCAAAGATTACAAACTACAGTGATTAACTATTCGCAAACTATTACAAAAAAATAAACAAACTTTTATAAACATCCTGTACCTACCGGTTCTGAATCATACTAATTATTTTTAATATGATAGTTACTGATTTTTGATAAATTCTTTAAATACATTTTTTATCAAAGGATTAAAATATTTTTAATGGTAATGGCATCTACGATTATCTCGGCTGTGTTGATAACACAGATATTCCGCGGCTTGACAGAAAAATAATTAATATACTCGTACCTACTTAGGCTGGGTTGCATCATCTTGGGGTGCGATGGTGAGGGACCTCCTCGTGGTGCACCCTGGGATACGTCCGCGTGGACTGTTCACGCGGGCGGCTAACTTCTCACCTGCACGGCAGGTCTCGTCAACTCGAAGGACCTGTACCTCTAGAATGAACAACTTTCGTCTTCGAATCGTTTGCGTATTCGTCAAAATTCGATACTCAACATTCGAATTAAACGATAACGTGACAATTTTGATTCTCAAAATAAGTTTCGTTCAACCATTTCTCATCCAATTTTCACTTTACGACACGTTCACAAGGGCGCTGTTGTAGTTTTCGTACTAAATCTTTTGATGGTGATTCGAGCACGCAAACGATTCGAACTCGAAAGTTTTTTGTGCTAGCCGTATTGTTGGGCAACCCGTAACCCACAATTGAGTGGGCCGGGGGCGTCAAGGCATTTTCCCGAGACACGACGCAGGGGACATCTTTAAAAACCTGAGCTGGCGGGGCGTTTTCCCGGGCCCATTCTTTGGAGGGTCACTCTCGGCACTTCTCTGATCAGCAGAGGCCGGGGGTCCTGTTGTACCAGGGCCGCGAGGAGAAAACCTAAAACAACTGGAGGAGAGGATTGGTGGTTTCCTCAAAGCCAGCCCTTTAACCTAAGGCGAAGCTGCGGACTTTTTTTTATCCACAACGAGGAAGCTCTGGGCCTGTATCTCACCTGATGGTAAGTGACGATCAGGCTGAAGGTGGAAGCGAGCTTCACCCGGAATCCTCAACCACAGAGGAACTGGCTATCTTACCTCTAACTGCCGGAACACAACAATGCTGATNAGCTTCACCCGGAATCCTCAACCACAGAGGAACTGGCTATCTTACCTCTAACTGCCGGAACACAACAATGCTGATAACATTGTTGTTATGGCGACAGACTTAGGTAAGATGGTGGTAGCTAGCCAGGCGGACTTAGAACAAGCCCTACCACCAACCAAACCGAACAGAAAAATCTGCCCTCACTGGGAATCGAACCCGGGACCTCTGCGTCCGAAGCAGGTGGTTTTACCACTAGACCACAGAGGCGGTTGAATCTAATATCCGAGATAGGACAATAACTCGCAGCTCCGTTTCTTTGGGCTCTGGTAGACACCGTCGGGTTTTAGTGGGTAGGCCCCGCCCTTAGTGAGCAGGCGGGGAGAGTCCCACATAACCCACAGGCCGTTCCCATCGACCAATGGGTACCTATGCGCAAAGCATTTCCCGACGTTAAAAAAAGGGCTGCTTATTAGTCAAGGATTGGTATCCAATCAGGTAAAAGCATTAATTAAAATATCATTATCATAATATCAAGTCTGCCTTAATGATTTCCTGCAACCTTTTTATCTGTATTTAAGTTTCAAAATCAAAATCAAAATTTTCTTTACTTGTTTAGACTAATTAAATTAGCTCTTGCAAATCGTCAAATGCTCTTATTATACATGTCTCATTCTTTTTTTGCCCTACCAGCGCTTCGAGACAAACATTTGGCAAGTGCTGAGAAGAAGCGCCGCAACAAACTCAGTCACCACTGTCTGCCGGTTTAAAAATATAAAAAAGTAGGAAGTTACAATACATTCAGAAGCAAGTTACTTACCACGCGCTCCCGTTGATAGGTGGCCTTTAAGACGCCCATCTAGCACGAGACCGCGTGGCAGTTTTGAATATATTTATTTAGTGCCGTGCTAATTTCTAGTTTAATAACTAAGCATGTATCTAATAGTATCTATTCTTCGTAATCGGATAAGCATTTACTTACTACTTTATCTTTGAATTTGACAAGCAAGTGTAGGCAATTTTAAATTATACTGGTTAGTTCTTAGTGAGCATCTACGTTCTGAAAGGAAAATTTTAGACTCGTAGCACTTGTAGTTTCTGAGATTTCGTGATGCTTGTAGTTTCTGAGATTTCGTGATGCTTTCAATGTATAGTTTTCGCGGTCGCTTTATTCAACAGTTAAAAGAAAATACGTTATGCCATTACAAGATACATTAAGCCGGGTTCAGACGGGTGTAACGCGTAATGGAATGCAACGTGTAATGTAATGGAAATAGTATGGGCAGCACTTTACATGTAATGCTCGTAGTGCCGTCCACACGTGGAATTCGTGTTACATTACACGTAATCTTACATTACACATTCCCTTCTGGACCCAGCTTTACGCATGATACGTTACACACAACGTTTTTTAATCAGCCAATATCTGACTTAGGTACTAGTATGCCAGGAAATCTCATAATTTTTAAGAGAGAAAATATATATTGACAAATTAACTAAAACAAGACAAAAGGACTAAGCTTCACGCTAGGCATTGCCTGTTTTGTGGAGTCAATCTTATTTTCTACTGCTGTTGGATTTATAGATTATACCAGTCTTCCCGTGCAGGTTTCAAGAAGCCATCTTCAGAAGCTCGCAATGAAGACGAAACAAACAAAACTTCTTATAAACAATCAATTTTATTAAGTTAACCCTTAAGTAACATCCTTATTTTTGGTTACACTTAGAACACCCTGGGGTAAAAAAAATACCCCAAAGGGAAATTGAAAAATTTTAAGTAAATATTTAAATTCAATTTAATTTGTGATTTACAGTGTATTAATGGACTCACTAAATTATACTATTGTTTTAAACGGACGTCTATCTAGCGTAAAGAAACATCTTAAATAAATCATAACAAAAAACAAAGATTTTTTCATTGGCAACTAATAGTCTCCACAATGATCTTCTAGAAAAATCTTGGAAAGTTATTGTGGGAACCAAAAACTTACACTAATCGGACATTGAATAGATGTTTTATACATATTTGAAACACAAAATGAAATAAAACGAAAATTTGTGGCTTTATAATAAAGCAAAATAAAAAAAATCTTTTTTTTTTATAAAATTATGGAAATATATTTTTTATTTATTTTATTCCTAATTATTTTTTTCAAAACACATCAGACACGCTGAATTATTACATAATTATCACTTTTGGGCTCTTTTTCTGTGTCGAATTTATGAACGCTGTGTTCTGAGGGGATGTCTTCAAAGTTCGAAAAGTATCATGTAAATCAAGCTCTATTTATTTTTCTGCATTCTCGAGACAACGTGCTACCTAATCGTCATATAAATTTTTACTCATTTTGTTTAAATATTGTAAAAACCTATTAATAAGATGTTCGGTGATGATAAATTAAAGCATACGTAACTAACACCCTGGGGTAATTTTCCACCCCACCTACCTGTACAAGCCAAACAGATGATTTTTTTCACATCCCGCGTCTACGAGCTTAAAGCGCACACTCTGCATTGAGAATACACAAAACGACATTGCACTAGCTTCGGTAGAAAAAAAGATATATCAATTTTTATGCGCCTGGGGTAAAAAATTACCCCACGGTGTTACTTAAGGGTTAAACAAAAATATTATAATATCTGACCAGTTTATAAAAAGAGAACTTATCTCGAATTGAATTTGAATTGAATTGAACGAGCGAAAATTTGATAGTAAAGGTAGTACTATCAAATTTTCGCTAATCACGGTATCCTTATCTCCAAACGACTATTTATACCTCTACAATGTTCTACCAAGACATTGTAGCATCAGACCTGGAGTTGACAAGTCATTGACAATCTAAATCAAGATGATGAAGTGCTTATACTTCTTGCTGTTCGTGGCTGCTTGCCAGGCCTACGTGGCCAGGGTGGCTGAACAAATTCCTACTCCAACAGTTACTGAATTTGAAGTGGGATATCAATTAGGTTTTATAAGATTCTTGGAGTTAGAATGGAATCTCGTGGAGCACCCGGAGATTCTCGGATACAGGGTAAATATTTTATGTTTTAATTGAATTTGAATTGATTTTTACCCGACTGCGCCAAAAGAAGGGTTATGTTTTTCGAGTGTAAGTATGTACGGTATTTCTTTAGCACGGCCTACAGCCTAAACGGCTTGACCGATTTTAGCGTTAGAGGTGTCGTTAGATTTGTCTTAATCATGAGAGTGACACTGGCTATATTAAAATTGAAAAAAAAAAAATCAAAATGGCGGATTATATACGCCATAATGTTTTAAAAAAAAATTGTTTTTTCTCAAAACCTATCCAGTGGGGTATCAAAATTATTTATCATTGACATTTTTAACTGCATCATTTATTTATTTTAAATTATTATTATATTGATTACACTGTTCTGTTTCAGATGACAGTGTGGGACCAGGGATCGGTAAGTCATACAACTTTATTTAAACCATCACCTAACTTTAGCTACTTACAATACTGAACTTGCGACCACGACTGGCTCCCCGCTAATCCCCGCTAAATTTTGTCAGTGCGTGCGCGCCGCATATGTGTTGGCGCGCTCACATACAAACCGCGCCCGTGCGTTTCTTGGTTTCTATGAAGATGAACTACTCATTTGTATTTACTCTGTTTGTAGTGTTCAGTATACGTTAGTATATCTATAGACAACACAATGACAAACAACAGCTTAATTAACGTATCTCTTTCAGGGTGACATTTCAAACGACCAAAGCAAGATATTCAGGGAGGTTGTAGTTGACGCTAGTACGACCCGCGCCGGTGTAAGAGACCTTCAGTATGACATCTGGTACCTTGCGAGAGTCCAGGCCTTCACCAGAACTGCGACTAGTGGGTGGTCCGACAGTAGGTGGGTTATGTTCCATACCCCACGCAGGGACGGACGCCAGTCTTATACTGTGATGGAATAAAATGAGAAGAAATCTTGACAAAGATTGTAGTTGTTGTCATTTTAAAATAAACTCCTATAATAAACACTGCATTTTTGTTTATAAGAAAACTAACAATCCCTTGAGTCTGGGCGCAGACACCGAGTTTTTGTTGGCCGTTAGTTTAGTCGCGCAGTTAATCAGTATGGGCATAGCAGGCCGATTCTTTATACAAATTAAAATCGGGTCCAACTGGCCAACTAAAAATCGGTGGTCTGCGTTACATTCCCACTGAAAGAATCTAATTGTGAGGTGACGAAGACGCCACCACGCGGGAATATAGTAGAAATCATTATGCAGTTCCTAATTATTATGAAAAGAAGCCGAGAGCCCGTAGACAAGGCCTAAGATGTCGATGATGATGACTAATGATGATGGTTGTCAGTTATAATCAAGTAAAATCATTTCTTTAAATTATTATGTACTTACCTAAATTAGAGTGAATTGGCGCAGAAAATTTTGCTAGTCTATCAGTGCAAGGCGCTTACCTAATTAATTATAGTAGGTACCTATCTATTCATTCTGAAAAAATGACGGTTTACCTACCTACTTGTATGTGGGTTTTGTTATTTTATATTTAAGTTGAAGAGAATTCTAAAAAAATTAAAAGATTGTTTAATTCGTTTGAGTTTAACAGCTGTATAGGTATCAGGTAGTTATAATTTTATAATTAAGCCTGGCTAATTATAGTCAAGATAATGATAAATCATAATTAATGATATGACTCAGTTATAACATTGATAACTTATCCAACATACCTAATATATTTGATTTGATCAATGGAAAGCTATCAGCAAGGATTCAAAAAATAATGGTTAAGATAAAAAAGTAATTATACCTATTTGCCTGCTATTAAATACTGGAGAATAGGCTAGAGCCATTATGATAAGGTAGTACAGTCAGCGTCAAATAGTTCATGACACCAAAAGTGGCCAAAAATTTGTTAACACATTTATATTATTTATTTCGGTTGTAATAAAGACGTGTTGTGAACTTTTTGACTACTTTGGATGTCACGAACTATTTGACGCTGACTATACCCTAAAACTACCTTTGCTGTCTTTTAAAAGACAAATACACGCCTGGCTATTAACTAAGTCACAAACTAAGTGCTATTATTCAGTCAGGGAATACCTCGACGAACAATAGAATTTTAATCAGACTAACGAACAACAATTAATTTTTATTTATATAGATGACATATTTGATATGATAATTTTTGTAAGGAATATTTTAATTGGCGACATTGATAGGGGTCATCCATAAAGTACGTCACACGTAAAGAGGGGGGGAGGGGGTTGACAAAGTGTGACATGGTGTGACAAGGGGTGGGAGGGGTCCCAAGTTTCGTGACATCACATTTCAATTGTTTCAGATATTTGATATAATGTTGATTTCATATAAAAAAATACTTAATTTAAATAGAAATAAAACTTATTTCGGAACTGCTGTTAATTTAATAATTTTTCGATGTGAAATTGCAAAACATGTGACGTCACACTAGGGAGGGGGGTCTCTTACCCTTAACTCTTTGTTTTATAGCTTATGTATTATTTTGTGTTTTTTGTGCATTTTTTCTGTATTGTGTCTTTTTAATGTGTCAATAAACCAATTCTATTCTATTCTATTCTATTCTAAATACCCTCAGACAAAGACACAATTCAAAGGCCGACGGCAAAGTCACTTTGTGCCTAATTTTAGGGCTTGTCCTAGACGCTAAGACTAATTTCTTGGACGCATCTGAGTCACTAATAGATATACTAAGAAATTGTAAGTGGCCTGTGTTTTACTGAGTAGAAAATTGTTGGGCCTTTATTTAGATATAGGTATTTAAGCTCCAGACAATTTTAGTACAAATTTTCGTATTAAACGATTTTAAATATTTTATCGTACACGTGACTTGAAGTTTCGACTTCAGAATATTAAAATATTTGAACATATTTTCTTATTATTCGCGTTTGAACTACTCTATTTATCTCTCGCTACATTATAAAGATCGTGACTTGGCCACTCTCCAGGACTCTTAGCAGACTTAATCTACCCTTTAATTGAGGAGTGNTACTTAATTTAAATAGAAATAAAACTTATTTCGGAACTGCTGTTAATTTAATAATTTTTCGATGTGAAATTGCAAAACATGTGACGTCACACTAGGGAGGGGGGGGGGGGGCTCAGAAATGTGACCACCTGTGACAAGGACGGGGGGGGGGTCAAAAAATCATGAAATTCGTGTGACGTACTTTATGGATGGCCCCATAGGTACTATTAATTTAATTTTACATTGACATTTTTTTTAATAATTTGACATTTATATTATTGAATCCTATAATTTTTGCACGTCTGCGATCAGACTAAACACATGATCCTATTTTAATATTGTCACCCTGTATTACTGTGTTTTTAGCAAATAAACGTTTTGAATTTGAATTTTGAATTTTGAATTTGAATAAACATCATGTGGAATCGTGGCTAATAGCATGTGCTAGCATTTAGTTTCATTTCTAGGCAGCAATACTAATAATAATATCACACGGATAAAATACTGCATAGTTCGGTTTTTTACTACTTTACCCGATTTTACAGGATAAATAAATAGTAATAATGTAATTATGACGTATTAGAATAAATGTAATTTGAAGTAATTCACCAACTCGGACCACAAGCCTATGGCCATTTGGGACGAGTTGCGGAAAATTACAATTCCCACGTTTTTTAAAATATATTATGTTTCTTGAATAGGCACTTATCTTGACAACTGTACCAGACATTCATAAGGTTTAAAGTTTCACGAAAAAAGTAAATGGGACGAATTGACGAATGTAGAGAAAGAGATGGAAAATATTGCATAATATCGTCTAAAAAAATATTATAAATAATAAAGCTGCCAGCGTCGCTTCTTCGTTATTGCTGCAAGTCGTCCCACGCTGAACATCGTAGGTATAACATACTGGCATTCGAACGTCCAGACACTTTTTGGTTCCTAATAATTAATTAGGTACTCATACTATTACTTTTCAATTCCAACCAAATTAATAACGTCAATTTCAAATTATTTTCGAACCATCTACAGGTCGTCAGTCTATCTTCCTTGTTGCTCTGAGCTACAAAGGGAATTTTGGTGGCAATATTTGAAGTTATACAACCTATGCTTTCCTTTGATCGACTTTTTTAGTATACATCTAGTACTATTTTAAATATGAGTCATTAATTGTATTGCATAAACTACTACAATAGTCCCGTTAACCCCTCTATCTAAGTTAAATAATAAATAATGCGTGTTTGTCTTGTTGGTTGTCCTAATAAATAAAAAAATTGATAAATAAATAATGCTTGGGTTCGCCCCATCACAATAATCCAGCGAATGATGGGATTAGAACTACAAGGTTAAGTTTTACCACACGCATCTCCGTCGCTGGTTTAAAGTTGATCCCAGGTTAATGTCACTTGTCAGGTAGTGCAGGGCTTCCTAAACTTTTTATTTAAGTACCGTGACATCCTTGGAGGGTTTCTATTTTCTTGCGACACAATATTTTGTATAAATTCTTTCTCTACATTTATTTTCGATCGCCTCATGACGCCCTTAGGGATAATGCACGCACTGTTTGGAACCCTGCGTTAGTCATCAAGCCTAATCAAGAGCTGTAAGGCGATTTAATAACGTCACACAGTAAGGTTATCTACTTGTCTTACAGAAAACTCTACCGTGATTTTGGGTATTATTTTATTTATTGGACAACCAACAAGACAAACACGCATACGTGGAATTACTATAACTAAAAGTGCTTAGAACTAAGTGTTGTCTTAATTAAAGGCTGCCACGGCTTGCAATGTGGACAGTTGCAAATTTAAAAACTAACAAATAGAAACACAGTGACTATTTAGGTATTTGCTGCCGCTGTAAGGGACCTCAGAACAGCGCGCCTAAATTTCAATGGCTTATAACAAAAAATATCGACGTCACATGCTTTGCACAGTCTGTTGTACTCCCTCTGCAGTCTGCTCCTGGTGGCGTTGTAACCCAGATTGGTTTTACTAAACTTTGTTGCGAATTATTAGACTACTTAGTTTTTTAAACAAAAAAAAATGTGCTTTTGTAAAGAGTTTATTTCAAAATCAAAATAACAGTAATACATGTTCATATTAAATACTTCTTGAAAAAGATTCCTTCATTGTTTATTCCATCACAGTGTAAGACTGGCGTCCATGCGGCCAAATTGGGCTATGGAGCATGACCCACCTACGGTTGGACCACTCACTGGTCGCAGTTCTGGTGAAGGCCTGGACTCTCGCAAGATACCAGGTGTCCAACCGAAGGCCTCCTACACTGGCGCTTTTCGTACTCGCGTAAACTACGACCTCCCCGTGTATGTTGCTCTGATCGTCGGATACAACCTGGAAAAAAACGTTGATTTACTTATTACATTTTTGTTTATCATTGTCTTATTTTAGCGTAGGTATTACTTGAATACTGAACAAATTAGCCGTCCTAAATATATCTACACAAAATATTAGTGCTGAGTTGTGGAGAAAAATGTAATATTATCTCAATTTTGCATGCTATTGTATATGCCCAAAGGGGCTAAAGACTTTAGCTGATCTATACTAATATTATAAATGCGAAAGTTAATGTCTGTCTGTCTGTCACGCTTTCACGCCTAAACCATTGAAGCGATTTTGATGAAATTTTGGCATAGAGATAGTTTGAGTCCCGGGAAAGGACATGGGATAGTTTTTATCCCGATTTTTGAAACAGGGACGCGCGTGTTAGGGTTTTTCTGTGACAGACAAAATTCCACGCGGGCGAAGCCGCGGGCGGAAAGCTAGTAATAAATATATCAACATTAAATTAGATTACAGTAATTATTTGTAACTCTGATAGCAAAAAAGGTCACTTTAGGGTTAATAACTAGTGTTGTAGTTGCAATTAAAAGAAAAGCTTATCTTGTTCAAACTAATAAATAATTAAAAAGTTGTATGACTTACCGTTCCCTGGTCCCACACTGTCATCTGAAATGAAACATTTTAATCAATAATTTCCTAAGTTTTACCAG